CCCAACCCCTCTTCTGGCCTACACTCCATTTCTTGTATGCATAAATAAATAAAAATAAATCTTTTTTAAAAAGATAAAATTTTAAAAATTAGCTTAATCTTGAATCTCAAAATCACTGCCAATCAGTAACAAATAACTCCTGTTTTTTTCCAAATACAAATTCAGTACGAAGAGGCTATCTACATCTCAATTAGCCATTTGTGCCATGTGCTATTTATAAAAAAATCAGTTACTCTAAGTAGCTTTATTAATAATAATGACAATGCTAGTAAAAGAATCAGCATCAGTAGCTACTATTTACTGAGTGTTCACCAAGGTGCTAGCAAATTAAGAAATGTTTTATATGTGTTACCTCACTTAATCCTTACTATAAAATCTTGATAAGAAAACAAGATTAGAAAAGTTAAATTAACATGCCCAAGACCACACAGCCGAGTAGAGCTCAGATTCTAACTAGGATTAGCATCTGTTCCAAATTGCCCAGGAGAGTATCCTGGTACATGATCATCAGTGCCCTCAAAGGACCTCAAAAAAGATGATAGATTTCATAGTCATCCTGTGGCTAAGTGACAGTGAAGCCTGTGCTCAAGTACTAATCTCCTAGGAAAGCAAAAGGGTGGCATGGCACAGCTATTGGTACAAGCAGCTCCACAGAGAATATCCAGCTCTTAGGATGTCTGATTTCTTTTATATATAATTCATATATATAGTTTATATACAGGAAACAGGAAGTCAGGGTAATTTCAGTTCCTCAGGCATTTTATTACCTGTCCCAGTAATGCCATGAGACGAGATGGAGGCACCACACTGACTTCTCCCGCCAAGGCCTGAGCAATTGCTGCTCTTCTCTTCTCTTTACTACTTCCGTCTGGGTATGCCTGAAAAAGGAGCGGGGTAGCATCGTTTCTAAAAAGCAGCTAGGACATGTAAGTATGTTTACTTAAAGACAACAATCAAGAAGACATACTCGACAAGGAAAACATGAAAAATGCTAATCAGTTAGGATCAGTTTAATCAATTAGTTCTTAAAACAACTTCTCAACTCTACACTTTTCCATTTCAAAAGTATAAGCTAGGAAAGAACTGAGGTAAGCCAATTCACACTGTTATTTCTAAAGAACCCCAGAAAAATATGTCAACTACAGTAGTCTTTCTAGTTTTTCAAAAATCTGCAGAGCTAAGTTTATATTCCTTGGTAAATTCTTTCAGTCAATGAACTTTCAGATCAGAAGTTCTTCACCATCTCTAACTTAAAGTCTGTCTTGATTATTCCGTATCTGTGATTTTACTTTGCACTATTCAATGCCTATTAAATTCTTCCTCCTCCGATAAGCCAGAAAGAGAAAGAAAAATACCGGATGGTTTCACTCATAGCAGGAGTATAATGGACCAGGTGAGAAAATAACAAAAATAATGAACAACCATATACCAGAGACATTTTGTGTGGGTGGAGTGGGGAATGGGAT